ACAGCTAGCTGGTCCCTATACTAGGAGAAAAAAAAAACTAGGTTTACACAATGTTTCTGATTACCAGTGTGTTTTTCTACACTTTGCTTTTTTTTTGGCTTGTATCTTGATTTAGTTGTCACATTTTGTATGACAAAAATATAGTTTTAACCAACAGGACATATCTAAAGCTATAAAATTGCTATCTATATAAATTCCACATCAGAATAGAATCCACCATCTCTGCAACCTTACACAGGACAAATGGTTTGAAAAATGGATGGAGAATAGAATAGAATAGAATAGAATAGAATAGGCTTAAGCATCTTTGGGAACCTACACAGAACAATTGGTTTAGAAAAATAAAAATAGAATAGTATAGAATGAATAAAATAAAATTAATAGAATTGGCTGCAGCACCCCTGAGAAACTACTTAGGACAAGCAGTTTGGAAAATAGAATAGAATAGAATCCAGCATCCCTGTGAACCTACAGTACAGTACATAGGAAAAGTAGTTTGGAAAATGAAGAATAGAATAGAATAGAATAGAATACGCTCCAGCATTCCTGTGAACCTACATAGGACAAGCAGTTTGGAAAATTGAAAATAGAAAAGAACAGAACAGAACAGAATAGAATAGAATAGAATAGAATAGAATAGAGAATCTATTATAACCTAAATAGGACAAGCTGTTTGGAATTTGGAAAATAGAACAGAATAAAATTAATAGAATTGGCTGTAGCATCCCTGAGAACCTACTTAGGAAAAGCAGTTTGGAAAATCGAGAATAGAACAGAACATAATAGAATAGAATAGAATAGAATAGAATAGAACAGAACATAATAAAATAGAATAGAATAGAATAGAATCCAGCATCCCGGAGAACCTACAAAGGAAATGTAGTTTGGAAAATGGAGAATAGAACAGAACATAACAGAACATAATAGAATAGAATAGAATAGAATCCAGCATATATTATAACCTAAATAGGACAAGCTGTTTGGAATTTGGAAAATAGAACAGAATAAAATTAATAGAATTGGCTGTAGCATCCCTGAGAACCTACTTAGGAAAAGCAGTTTGGAAAATCGAGAATAGAACAGAACATAATAGAATAGAATAGAATAGAATAGAATAGAACAGAACATAATAAAATAGAATAGAATAGAATAGAATCCAGCATCCCGGAGAACCTACAAAGGCAAAGTAGTTTGGAAAATAAAGAATAGAATATAATAGAATAGAATCCAGCATCCCGGATAACCTACAAAGGAAAAGTAGTTGGGAAAATAAAGAATAGAATAGAATAGAATAGAATCCAGCATCCCAGAGAACCTACAAAGGAAAAGTAGTTTGGAAAATAAAGAATAGAATAGAATAGAATAGAATAGAATAGAATAGAATAGAATAGGCTTCAGCATCCCGGAGAACATACATAGGAAAAGTAGTTTGGGAAATGAAAAATAGAACAGAACATCCATGGCAAAACTGACAGGTGATTGGGCATGTTGTTACACAGCTGCTAAGATGATCTGGGTGGTAGCAAAGGAGCTGCTAAGATGTTGTGCAAGGTTTTTAGCATGTCGTTATGCAGTTGCTAGGGTGTTGCTAAGGTGTTCTGGTGGTTGCTAAGTGGTTGCTCACTGGCCCAATCAAAAGAGCCCACCCCCAAGTCTCTATGATATTCTGGTGTCTAGATATGACACAAGTGCATCCTTTGGTGTAAGTCTATGGGAATCCTTTGGTCGTTTGATTGGATAGAGAAGCAACAGCACACCTCTCCTCAACATGCTACATGATTGGAGGTATTCATGTCTTTTCACAAACTGTGTGGGATGAGTTACACATTGTAGTTTAATATTTAGAGCTGGGTTTGGGGGCGAATAACCTAACCCAAGTATAAGCAATAGTAATAGTAACTTAAAACCAGATGATGACAACACAAAATCTTCTGATATGTTATTCCCTTATATGATATGTTATTTCATCTTTTAAATAACATAGCCACAGACAAATCCCATGTGTCTTCACAGCAGAATATTGATGTATGGCGTGTAAATTAAAACACTTGAGATTATGTTGCCAGGATGCATCCGTGGTAACTGAAGAGGGGTAGGTGTGAAATAAGCCTGAAAACATGATGTTAACACCAATTAAAGCTGCAGGTTGAGCGTGATGCTCTTCGAGGAGAGGCAGAATTTGCTGACAAGCTGGACCAAAGGACAGCACTCTGACCTTTATACGGCATTATTTTTAGAAAGTACTCACTGAAAGAAGGTTCTGTTCATATTTCACCTTGACCTATGCATGTGGGTTTTACATTATACTTGCTGTCACAAATACTGATCAAATGTTTGGGGTCTTAAATCTCTTATGCTCACAAATGCTGAAAAAATACAATAAAAAATAATATTGTGAAATATCATTACGATTTAACAACTGTTAAAATGTAATTTATTTCTGTGATATTTCAGCATCATTACTCCAATCTTCAGTGTCACGTGACCTAATATACTGATTTGCTGCTCAAGAAACATTTCTCATTATTATCTATGTTGAAAACAGTTGTGCTGCTAAATATTTTTGTGGAAATCGTGATACATTTTTTTCATTTCATTTAATGCATCTGTGCTTAAATAAAGTTTTAATTTGTGTCAAAAGAAAAAAAAATCTTACTGGTAATATAAAAATATAAAATATACAGTGGTTCCAAAAAGTGTTTGAACACCTAAGCCATATTTAATTAAAGTAAATGCAATAGCAAAATATTATCTGCATAATTTATGCCACTCACTACATTTATTATCTCATGCAATAAGTGTCAAGAATAAACCCAGATACTTTTTGGGGCTATTGTATTAAAAATGTAAGGACAGAAATGTTCATATTAATATTATTTTATCAAGCATATTCATCCTTCCGCTAGAAGTTATAACAGATGGTTGCTATGCAACAAAAATGTGTTTCATTGGCTTTGTACTGTACTCTGCACAATAACAATGAATTTGAATCTAATCTAATAATGATTCGTTATGGGTGCTGGTCAGTAAAAGAAATGTAACATCTAGATTATTATACTACATTGTGGCACAATGAGAACTAAATACGTTACATGAAAATCTTACATGCACATATTCATCTAATCATCCATATTATGAAGGCTATTTTAATGGTTATTAAACAAAGGGTCAAAAAAAAGATATAGCTTATAAACTGATTATTCAACAGCTCTGTTTTGGGAAGAGGAACATTCTGAGAACCAAAAAAAGTGTTATTTGGAGATATGGTGAACACATTTTGTGTCATCGTTTTTGTGTAAATAACACCACTGGAACACTGCACTGAAGCCAGAAACAGACCTATGCCTTTCCCAAATCCATAAATCAGATATTTCTCAATTCCAATGAAAACATGACTTAATTGACTAGTTTTAAGCCCTCAAGTCACATCACAGATGAGCAGAGTGTTGTTAGTGAAATCAAAGCATCATTTTTATTATCCCTCGCCTGCAGATATGAATCCCATTATATTCCACAACAGCTATCATGTAAATAAAACCGTCTTGGGTACAGCTGTCAAGACCTATAGGCGTAATAACTCAACTTAAAACACAGCATACATAGACGGTTTGAGTATTGTTTGTGATGTGTTCCTAAAGCCGCTATAGGGAATTTTCTCATTAACATTCAGCTTTGTCGACACCGGCTGATAACATTATCCTTGATTCTTTAAACTCTTTATCTTGGAAATGTGCACTTCAGTGAAAAACAAAAACAAATGTTCTTCTATTAAGGGGGAAAATAGCAATATGATTGCACAACTAAAATATAATAACTGGCCTATCATTATGTGCTGTAAAGGTCAGTGTCATACTACTGTAGACAACATAATGTGGCATGGTTTGTAGTTCCATTCATATCAACCTAAATCTGTGCATACTTGTGCTTAGTGATTCAGTACATACTCGTATGAACCTGATTCAATCTGATTTTAGATGAAAATATGTGGTTACATTCTGGGTTCCAGGTTGTAGAGATGTCAATTTAGGAGCCCAGTCATTGCTTAAATGTACATTTTTAAACCTTTCACCTTGATAAAGTGTTATTCGATCTGTGTAGAGTGTTAATTCTTTCCTGTGTGAGTGAGGAAAGATCTGAGAGCTGTGAAATTAAAATGTTTTTGCCTAAAGGAAATGAACTGAAATTTAACTCGGCGGGTTGAGTTGTTGAGGATGGTGCTGCCACCTACAAGTTACATCATGTATTACAGCTTCTTTGATTGGGCCATTTTGATTGTAAAAAATCGAATGCCATTTTGCCTAATGTTCCTTTTTTATAATTCTATATCTATCTAGTTTTCCTCTACAATTGTTTTACTTAGTAGTCCAACGAAGTTACAACTTCTGAAAGCTACACTACCATTCAAAAGTTTGGGGTTGGTAAGATTTTTTTATGTTTTTGACATAAAAACGACAATGTTTGACATAACATCGACATGTTTTGAAATGTCTCTAATGCTGAAGACTGCTTTTATTAATCAAAAATGCGGAAAAAAACAGTAAAACATTATTAAAATTTAAAATAGCTGTTTTATATTGTAATATATTTTAAAATGTAATTTATTTCTGTGATGCAAAGCTGAATTTCCAGCATCATTACTCCAGTCTTCAGTGTCACATGATCCTTCAGAAATCATTCTAATATGCTGCTCAAGAAACACTTCTTAATAACAGTTGTGCTGCCTAATATTTTTTTGTGGAAACTGTGATGCATTTATTACTCTCATCAATAATGTTCAAAAACACTTATTCTCTCTGTCTGATCAATTTAATGCATTCCTGGGTAATAAAAGTATTCATTCTTAGTACTGTTTTTTACTTTTTAAAAGGAAAAACTGTAATAGGTTGTTTTTTTTGTGTGTGAAAAAAGTGCATCCTCTTGTCTACCACTCACAAACATAACAGCAATCATTCTATATTATACATGAATTAGGTGGGGAAAAAAATCAGTCGGTAAATGTCTAACCCGAAATGAAAATGTTTATTAGGTTTTAAGCTACAAAGTATCACCTCTCATCCGTCACATACCAGTAGGTCCTTGGGTTCAAATTTCAAAGGCTTCATTAAACACCCGATAGATTATGTCACAGCAACACACAACATCTTCTAGCTCAACGTTTTATTAGGCACAAGGCGGGAGGGAGTCGTGTTTACAGTATCATTATCCCAAATGCCCTCTCTGAGTGTTTGCATCTATGACCCTGGCCTGGGATCAGTTTCAGATCGCCTCCAGTTCAAACATCATTTCTAAACATTCCATATTACAGACCTGAGCTCAGTTAACACTGGATTCTGGGATGTTACAGTGTTTGGTGAAGTCATGTTGCATTTCCCTTTTCGTATCAGTTTCCAGCTAGAGTACGACCTGCGCCGATCTCACAGCTTTCGTCACTGTAGTAACGGATACACGCAGTCGAAGTGGCCCAGGTTCTGGCAGGACTTGAGCCAGCGCTGTACGTTAACTGGTGCAGAGGTGGTCTGGCCGGCCCGCAGGACGCAGCAGGCACACACGATGTCGGCGAGAGAGAACTCCTGACCCAGAAGCCACTCTGAACGCCCCAGAGCCGCGTTTAGTGACCTCAGCACGGCCGCCCGCTCTTTACTGCCCCCCTCGGACAGCTGGAAAACTGCCGTGTCGATCCAGCAGTCCATCTGCGTGGCGGCGACCGGGTCCTGGGGTTCGCCACCCAAAAGACGGAAGAGAAAGCGAGCGACGTTGGCCTCCCCCTCGATCGGGCACATGCTCTGTGTGTTGAACTTCATCTGCAGCTCTGACACTGAAAGGAGACGGATGATACAATAATTAGCATGTCGAAATATCTGGAGCTACTGCAAATGTATATATATATAATGTGACCCTGCAGCACAAAAGCAGTCTTAAGTCGCTGGGGTATATTTGTAGCAATAGCCAAAAATACATTGTATGGGTCAAAATTATAGACTTTTCTTTTATGCCAAAAATCATTAGGATATTAAGTAAAGAGCATGTTCCATGAAGATATTTAGTAAATGTCCTACTGTAAATATATCAAAACTTAATTTTTGATTAGTAATATGCATTGCTAAGAACTTAATTTGAACAACTTTAAAGATGATTTTCTCAATATTTAGATTTTTTTGCACCCTCAGATTCCAGATTTTCAAATAGTTGTATCTCGACCAAATATTGTCCGATCCTAACAAACCATACATCAATGGAAAGCTTATTTATTCAGTAGCTTTGCAATTTTTCAATCTTGGTTCTAGTTTTTTTTTCTCTGGGGGAAAAAAAGAACAATTTGCTCCTTAAGGCCAAATTTATCATGGCTACATTTATTTGACCAAAAATACAGAAAAAACTGTAATGTCGTAAAATATTATTACCAGTTAAAATAATGGCTTTCTATTTTAATATATTTTAAAATCTAATTTATTCCCATGAAGCAAAGCTGAATTTTCAGTATCATTACTTCAGTCTTCAGTGTCACATGATCTTCAGAAATCATTCTAATATGCTGATTTATTATCAAGATTGGAAACTGTTGTGCTGCTTAATATTTTTTTGGAACCTGGGATACTTTTTTCAGGATTATTTGATGAATAACGTTAAAAAGAACAGCATTTATTTAAAATAAAAATTGCATACATACAGAAGATACCCAAATTGATCCTATTTATACCCCTGATGCACATTTAAGGTTTTATTGTTCACAGTTTAGCAGTGAACATAATTACAAAGTAAAAAAGATTCGTCTTCGTAATTGTTTGTCAAACTGTAATAATCTGCTCCACCTTTAAATGAATGCACTCTAGTGACTAGTAGTTTGACTAGTAGCCAAATAGTTTCAAGAGGAGTAGGCCACCACAATCAACAGGGTCTGGCTGGTATAAACACCCACCATTCACAATCCAATCTAGTGTTGCCAAAAGCACCCGTACTTCTGTACCGCAATGATACTGACATTTTAAAAATGTAACAACACCAGTCTTCCAGCAGTACAGAGTACAGACATTTGTGCAAGCACTCGAAGAGGTTTTTGCAGAGTCGAGCCAGTCATCAAAAACACGGTTTGGAAGATGAATTCATGATGTACTCGCTCATTATATACATTTAGCGAATTCTGAACACAGAAAAAGTTACATAGTGCTGCTTTAAGTTCTAAAGTCACTTTGGACGCGCGTGTGCCGGCGCTGACCCAGATCCGGCGTAAAGACGTCATCACGCTCGCGTCATAATACTGTCGTGAACACGCGTCCAAAGTGACGCAGTAGAGACGAAAATGTGGAATAAAGTCGTTATTTTTTTGTTTTCTTTGCGCAAAAAAGTATTCTCGTAGCTTCGTAACTTTACAGTTGAGCCACTGATGTCACACGGACTACTTTCGATCATCTTGGTACTTTTCTGGACCTTGAACGTGGTAGTTACCTTGCTGTCTATGGGAGGGTCAGAGAGCCCTCAGATTCCATCAAAAATATCTTAAATTGTGTTCCGAAGATGAACGAAGGTCTTACGGGTTTCGAACAACACGAGGGTGAGTAATTAATGACAGAATTTTCATTTTTGGGTGAACTGACCCTTTAAGCAAATCAGTTTCACTCCGGTCATACAAGAGAACCACGATTCCTTGAATGCACAAGATACAGCGGCCCTCCAGGAAAACACATTCTGATCAATCTTAGTGCCGCTCTCTTTTTACCCTCTCACCATCTTTCCATATGAGAGTGAAGCCAAGCTGAAAGCGCTGGCGTGCGTAGCTGTCTATGTGCCGCGGGCCCAGGCAGGACAGCAGCGGAGGGGGCACAGCGCTCACAGAGGAGTGCACATGCACACTGGAGAGCACCTGGTAGCGCTGGCACAACAGAGCATGAAGAACCAGCAGGCACAGAGGAGGACAGGCAGGGCTGGCGTTGATCACGATGTCTCTCAGTGCACCCAGGTCCTGGAGGACAACCAGAAACAATTCAGCAAGACGTGCATTTGGAACATTTGTGACCCTGGAGCACAAAAGCAGTCTTAAGTCGCTGGGGTATATTTGTAGCAATAGCCAACAATACATTGTATGACTTTTATGTCAAAAATCATTAGGATATTAAGTAAAGATCATGTTCCTTTAAGATATTTTGTACATTTCCTACCGTAAATATATCAAAACTTAATTTTTGATTAGTAATATGCATTGCTAAGAACTTAATTTGGACAACTTTAAAGATGATTTTCTCAATATTTTGATTTTTTTGCACCCTCAGATTCCAGATTTTCAAATCGTTGCATCTCGTCCAAATATTGTCCGATCCTAACAAACCATACATCAATGGAAAGATTATTTATTCAGCTTTCAGCTGATGCATAAATCTCAATTTCGAAAAATTGACCCTTATGACTGGTTTTGTGCTCCAGGGTCACACATAAGATTCAAGACACAATGCCCAACCCAATTAAGGCTGCTAAACAGAAACAGAACAGAAAAATACAGCAAGACCAACTAGGTTAACCGGACTGACATGTTTACCCTGGTTTAGTGATAAAAATAGAACGCAGGAGTTAAATACCTGAACAGGGTTGAAACATCCCAATCTAACTCGAGATTAATATAAAATGTCTCGTGGCGCATGTAAGGGCTCACCTTGCCCAACAGAGAGTCTAGATCTGCCGTTCCTCTGAACACAGACTCAGCCGGCCCGCGTGACAGTGTGCTGGCGTCCAGGTCTGCATCAGGAGTGGTCACCGTCTTTGCGAGCCCGTCGACCGTTGCCTTGATCTCATACAGTCTTCTCAGCACTTCATCCTGTCGCTCCTCCAGCGCCTTCAGAGCAGGATCCACTTCCCCGTTCTGAGACCAACAAGAGATACAGACGAGAAGACACCGGTTACATGCAATCTGCATGGCTACCTCCCCAAACATGCAAATGTACACTACAAAACAACATTTAGTTGCATTAAACTATGTGCAAGATTATCTATAAATAGATCAATTTACCATATCATCATCATCATCCTTTCTAGTATGATCCATCTCCTTGAGAGTCGTTGTTAGTTGCAGTGTATTAAACTGAAAGTGTAAGTCACTAAAGGACCAACCTCTCATTCCAGAGCACAGCAGCTGTCAATCACACCCGACATGCACGTGATCATTGCATCAGACAGACCTAGCCACTGTGCGTCTTACGCATTTTTACGATTTCATGTTCATATGTGAATGATGACCTGATGTGCTCCCGTATCATACCTGAAGCGCGTGCTGTCCGCAGTTCATTCCCTGCGCGTGGATATTCGGTGACTTGTACATGCGCGTTGGCAAATCGATCTTTATGTCAGCGGGACTGACGGGCTTCACCTTGTACATGGGCATGAGGACGGGTGACAAATGCACGCCAGTGCCAAAATAAAAGCACGGGATCCAGATATGTTTGTCGATTTCTCGACAGTCCGTCTAGTAGCAGCCAGCTAACAGCAGCAGAGTAGAGAAGAAGAAGCCGTCATTTCCGGTGAGAATGAAAGAACTCGGCTCGCCACTTCCGGTGGCATCCCCAGATGCCAGAGTTCTTGGCAGGAGTCACGACCGTTTGTCGCCGTTTCTGCTGTAAACTACACTGTTTTGTTTTTAAATCAAAGATTTGATGATGCATATACCAGCAAGCAGATACGATCAGAATGTGAAGCTAAATTGCATAAGCATTTTCCCATCAAGAACATACACACACAAGAGGAGTGCCAGATGTCATGTCACATATACGCACACACACAAACATGTATTTATTTATTTAATGTAACACTTTAGTTATTAACTAGTTGCTTGCATATTACTATATTAGCCGTTTATTGGTACATATATATATATTAAAATAATCATGAGACCATTTTAATTGAGACACTTAAGTTTTTATTGATTTTTTAATGTATTTTTATCATTGATTGCTTTTTAAGGATGGACTCATTCTTCCTCAAATCTGGCGAAGATTTTGTACTTTGCTTTAATCAAACATTTCTGTGCAGAACACCTCATAATCTTTTTGTTTCCCAAATGCAAAAGTGAACAGTTCGGCTGGAGAACTTTCGTCATATTCACCCGTCCAGCTCTGCTATTTGCATTGGGATGCAATTTGTTGCTTCTTTCCCATTGAAAGGACAATGGGATATTGTATTTTTCCATCCAGCTTCTCCTGCTACACCAGTCAGCTGCAGTCCTGGCGTCTCTCAGAAGAAGGATTTCCTGCAGTAAATAACACATATGGTCAAATTATTTCATGCATACTGATGTTAATGCTTAAAACGTGTAGAGTACATAAAGCTGTTACAACATTTTTAAGAAATATATGATCTTTTGTTATAATGAATGCTGTCTATCAGTTCTTGTGTCATTTAAGACCTTAATGGATCTTAATCAAATCCAGTTCCTTCAGAATTAATTCATTTAACTGTTATGTATCATTTATCAGGAATCCCACAGATACTTGCCAGATATATTATATTACAAAAATGTTATTTCATTCATGTACCATGTTTATATTATTCTCCATTTTTATTCTTTTTGATGACACATGAAAATGATGTAAAATGCATGTAAAATAATCAGCAAAAACATACAAAGCAAAGTCTCAAGGATCATTATTTAAGATTAATTAATTTTTGATGTTTGTGAATGGGTTATAGGCTTCCCCCATTTAGGTGTTGCCACTGAATAAATCAAGTGAGGTTAATTTTTGGGGTGTGGGAGGCTGTTGTTAAAAATGTCTTACCTCTTCGGGGCTTTCTGTGTCCTCACCTGTTCTGATCTCTGCAACACTGGGGGAAAAAAAGAAAATCGGTACCTAATTACAATGGCATCAGCGTGACATGGAAATCCCCTAATGTCATGACAAGAAGAATGTATTTAGTGATGTTATACAATGAAAAAACATCCTCTACCTTTTCTTTCCTTCGAAAGATGTGCATGCACTTCAGAAGCACAGATTCGGCCATATATCGGCACATATAGACATTGGTTTGCAACCAATAAATCAGAACCTAAGAAAAGTACAGTATTAATTTTAATGTGACAAACAGACAACTTTAACCACATTTAAGGTTTCAGTTGAATCTTTTCAATTAAGTTGCTACTTATACTGAAGTACTGCAGTTTGGAAGCCAACAATTAAAGAAGAAGTGTGAAGTCATGCTTCCATTTTATTGTACTTGGTATATAATCTCTGATTGTTGCTCCTCAAATTATATTGACACCCGTAGCTTTAGAGGCCTCAAAGCCATCACTTGCTTATCAATTTCTTTGCTTTAAATGAAATTCCTATTCTAATTGTTAATTTAGTACACATCTCTATAGCTCACCTCAGGCAAAATCACTTCTGTTAGAAACATCTGCTTCTCAGCTGCAGTTCCAGGCACAGATATGATTCGTTCCAGTCGCTGTATTATGTCTTCTGTCTAGGATAATATGCAAAGAAGAAAATGGAAAAATAGTTTTATACCATGCAGACAGAGAACATCATCAATACAATGCTATGAGCCATGTTTTTTT